CGGATTTGTAACACAGGAACTACATATAACAGTCTCAATTAATTACACACTCCCAATATCACTGCGCTACAGCACAAATAAAGTCTTCAAATTGCACGTTAAATCTTCACAGACTGACTTCTTGTACTCTTCTGCACTCCTCAAGCTTGAATGCTTGTTCCCGTGCTTCTGCCGCTACTGTTACTATTCGTAACTGCCCTGAACGAATTCTGACACTTATATAGCCGCGGAACGGACATGGACTTGCAGTAAACATATCACGTGATCGCTATCCAGCCAGTCTATTGGCGCGTCGGTCGGATCTGCAGAACACACAGCTTCCTCTATTGTTGACTGTTGGACTGTGTTTACATAGCTGTTGACTTGCAACGCGCTGGTTAAATCCGTTACAATATATCTGAACAGAGATTATTATTAAGTGTGAATGCAGAGGTTTGATCAGAGGACATCTAGATCTTTCGCTTTTAGAGTGAAGAACTCAGGGCTATCTTGAGCTCCTACCCTCTATAGTGGAGTGACCTGGTGGAATTCGTGCAGCCACAGAAAAACGTGTTTATATGCAAGTCAGAACGCCGTGTATTTGCTAGGATTCAGTCTGCATACAAAGCGATTTAAATGACGTCTAATTATAAACAAACGTCCTGCTTTCGTTGAAGAGTGACATATCTTCTGTTTTAAACCAGTTATTCAGCATTATCTTACAGGTGCTAACAAAATGTTCTTAATATTTAGAGCTTTGTATAGTGCCCATTCTTTTTTTGTAATTTCAACAATCTTTCAGAATCTTCTACAACAGTTATCACCCAAATTAGAATTTGGTACATTTCTGGAATGTTATTTCCTAACAGCAACATATAACCCGAGAATTTTCTACAACTGTTTTTTTAAATCTGAACTCGCGTTTTCAGAACAGTTTTGTCTTCTGCGATATAACGCCGTGTAGTCCGTCGAAAGGCAGCCGACGTTTTCCGAGCAACACGTCACCTTCATCTTCAGGGTCGAAGAATAAAGCAAAGCAAGTAACAAGCAGACTGGTTTCTTGTTTGTTTTCGACCTCGAAGATGAAGACGAAACTTTCGTCCGAAATGTCGGTTGACTTTCAACGGACTACACTGGGTTATATCCCACCGGTCTGAGAACCTCAAATCCTATATAAGACAAATGTTGATTGGTGAATATACAGATTTGGAAAGAGCCAGGGTAGCACAGTCGGTATAGCGACTGCCTACGGGATGGACGGTACAGGGATCGGAATTCGAGTCCCGGTAGGGTCAAGAATTTTCTCCACATCGTCCAGACCGGCTCTGAGGTCCACCCAAATGGGAACCAGGAGCTCTTTCCTCGGGGGTAAACCGGCCAGGATGTGAAGCTCACCACTCACCTCCAACTAGTCCCGAGGTCAAGAAAATGTGGATCTATAGATCCACTCCCCCATACACCTTCATGGCGTATATACTATACAGTGTCCCAGGAGGAATGTGCCAAACCTCAGGAGGGTGTTCCTTATGTTATAGCATGCCGATATAACCCAAAACAGCGATGTCCAAAGTTGAACGGTTACGGAGATAATGGCCCGAGAAAAGTGTGGTCTTCTGGCGAGTCCACGCACTATACCTGTCAGCTGGCATGTCTTATCTACGTTTGTCCTTGAGTGTGGTGATGGCAGCTCACGTTAGCCCCATACACTCGCATACCAGAACGCGCAGTCAGCAATGTTACGTCAGCGCTTGCCATTCATGTGTCATGTATAGTGCTTCGACAACTTTGACATGACGTGCGAGTTTTTTGTAGTTCAATTTAATGGCTTCATGTCACTCACAAGTTAGTTTGATGTTACGTACATTATTAACATTACAGAAACCACATATTCCTGCCTGTTTTAATATGTATTTTGTAATCAACAAGTGTTTAACACCGGTCAAAGTTTCACACTTCTCTGGCCATTATCTCCGTAACCGTTCAAATTTGGACATAGGTGTTTTGGGTTATATCGGCATACTTTAACATAAGGAACACCCTCCCGAAGTTTGGCACACTCCTTCTGGGACACTCTGTATATACCCACAGTGTCTTTATATAGACCTCTCACGGAAGAAAGAAAATGAGACACGTGAAAACCTTCCAAGAATGCCAGCGTGCTTACAGACAACAAAACTGACATAAAATTGTTTTTTTCTTTTACACTTTATCGTCTTGGCCTATTACAGGCTACCTGATTTGAATTTCACCTTGGATGTTGGAACGATGATATTGTCGTTAATAAGCACAGTCCAAATATTCCATCAAGAACAGTAAGGTTTGCCCGCGCAGCAAGGTAGATGAAGTTCACTGTTATCAATTTCATGTTAATCTGCACGCAGCAGATATCGAGTGTGGACAGTCTGGTGTGGCGATACTGTTAATGCTGTCACGTGTAGGGGTGACTATTAGACGGGGTTTGGATTGGATTTATTGACGCCTTATATACACTACTCTGTACTACAGGCAATTACAGCGCTAACGCTAATCTACGCACTTTAAAGTTCACTGCTGCAAATAACAGTGTCCTCAGTCTATTACAGTTTCCGCTGTCCGTTTCCTGGCGGCGGAGTTTAACACAGGAACTATAACAGTCTCACTAAATGACACCCACTATATATCGCGGTAGGTGTTTAAGAACAGGATGTTGAGGAGAATATTTGGACCGAGGAGAGATGATGTGACAGGATGTTGGAGAAAACTGCATAATGTGGAGCCTCATAATTTGTACTCTTCTCCAAGTATGATTAGAATGAGCAAGTCAAGGGGGGTGAGGTGGGCAGGGCATGTAGTACGAATGGGGTGACGAGGAATGCATATAGGATATTGGTGGGAAAGCCAGAAGGAAAGAGATCACTAGGAAGACCCCTCCGTAGGTGGGTGGACAATATTAAAATGGATCTTAGAGAGATAGGATGGGATAGATTGGACTGATCTGGCTCAGGATAGGGACCAGTGGAGGGTTCTTGTGAACATGGTAATGAACCTCCGGGTTCCATAAATTGCTGGGAAATTCTTGAGTAGCTGCAGAATCGGCGGCTCCTCAAGAAGGGCTCAGCTCCATGAGTAAGTAAGTAAGTAAGTAATATATCGCGGTAATATAGCACACGTAAGGTCTTATCTTCACAGCTAGACTTTCAACTCCACTGAACTTCACTCAGTAATTCTGGTGCCTCAGTTCGTCAATTCAACTTCTCTGCTGCCAAGCTCATATCGTGACACGCTGACGTCTCGAAAGTCAACTGACTTAAATCTCCTCTCAGCTGCCTGAGATCCTCGCTATATAGCCTCGGGATGGCCACCCCAGAAAACACCGTTTCCTAACAATTCCTATATTCTTATAGAGATGTGTATACCTTGCCGTTTCAGAGGAACGGTGGTTTTTCAATTGTTGCGTGTGTCATTTCCACGGGAACCTGTTTACCGAATCGTAGCTTAGCAAGGAACTTCTACTCTGGTTCCGCTATTCCGGATTTCAGGCGTCATGTCACAATACAGGAAACAGAATCTTTCTTGTCATTTCGCCTTTTGTATTGCAACCATTCTTAACAAGCACACTACCGGCTACCGGCCAACTCAGTAGCGAAGAATCTTTCTCGGAAAGCTGATATTTGCTCTGTTGTTCACGGAAGTCAAATATAAACGACCATGTTCCCAAAAGTTTGCATTTCACTCTACAGCGAGTCAGTTGAAACCAGTTCACAATGTAAGATAAATTTTAATATTACGCTACCGTTTATTTCTAGATCTCCCAAGTGGGCCTCCGACGTGTTTGTATTTTTAAGTACTCTTAAGACGTTTCGTAAGGGGAACCCAGTAGCGTAGTTGGCTGAGGTACTATGTTACAAGCCGGAAGGTCGAGGGTTCGAATCCCGATGAGGTGGATTTTCTTTTTCAGTTTACCTAATCCTTCCAGGCGCACTAGGGCCTTGAGGTCGACTCAGCCTCTAAAAGAAATGTGTACCAGGAACTTCCTGGAGGGTGCGGCCGGTGCGTAAGGCTGACAACCTCACCGCCATCTGTAAGCCGACTGTCTAGAAAATGTGAGAGCCTCGACGTCTCACAGCCCTATGGGCCCTTGACGGCCTGTTACAGGGATAGCTTTACCTTTACCGTAAGACGTTTCGAAACCCACTCAGATGTCTTCACAGACAACCAGTGTGTAGCAGCCCACCGGTCCACGGATTGACAAAAGCTTACGTCACCCACATTACCAATTGCTGCACTGAGAAGGTTCATTATCATTAGGCCTATATATACATGCCTTTGTTACTGCTGGACTACGAGAAGCCGTGAAGTACCTACCATGTTGTTAGAAAAAGCACATGAGTTGCGCGTGAGAAGTGTGGTAAGAGTTAGCGGGGCAGTGGTTACAGCTGCATCGTGAGGGTGAGGGATGGATGGAGGTTGGGTGGCACACTGTAACTAAGAGCCGATTATAGGCCGCGCCATACATCAAGCGGTTAGTCGCTGGCTTCCCACCGCGGCGGCCCGGGTTCGATCCCGGGTCTGGTCAAGTGGGATTTGTGGTGGACAAACTGGCGCTGGGGCGGGTACTTCGGTTTCCCCTGCCAACCTTCATTCCACCAAATTCTCCATCATCATAATCACCCGGGGCAGAATAAGCCAATCAGTGGCCACCGTGCCGAGTGGACCCAGTTGGACTCCACCCGCCACTAAGTGAAAAAGGGTTGATTATGATCCGTGAAGACCCTACAATCCTTATGTCAGTGGACTTGCACAAACCCACCGGGAATACGACCAGATCCAGCAGGTAGCAACAACCGATTAATCATTCATGGAAAGTTCGCTTACTTTGAAACAAATTATCACTATTTTTAGTCACGTCATATCCTGAGAGAACAATCGCTGCTGCCAGTCAAGTGGGAAGTTCAATTACAGAGAATATACGAGATACGCCGTTCTTGCATGTCATAGATAAAGTGTATATAAGCGTGTACGCTCCTTCCCCTTGCTTGCAGACAACGTACGACAATGCAGCGGTGGGCAGGTCGCGTCGCCATGGTGACTGGAGCCAGTTCTGGCATAGGAGCTGCCATCACAAAGGAACTGGTAAAGAATGGCCTCAAAGTGATAGGAATGGCACGGAGAGTGGAGAATATTGAGGTAAGCTCATATAGGACTAACAGTGCTCAAGATCTGTGTTATTCGTGGGGTTCTCATTACGTAGTCCTACTGACTTTCTTTTGTAAGGACTTCCTCAGTCTCTACTCGCAAATACTGGGATAGATTACGCCACGACGGCCTCCTTCCAAATCCTTTCCAATTCATAATCCTACCATTTAACGCTATATAGTCTCCATACTGACAGCGTCATCAAATCATAAATTATAAGATAGCTATTCAGAAAGTACTGGTACTCATTTCTGTTAGAGGCTGAGTCGACCCCAGGGCCATAGTGCGGCTGGAACGATTTGGCCAATTGAAATATCCAATGACTTCATCCGGAATCGAACCCGCGACCTTCCGGCTTGTAGCATAGTGCCTCAACCAACTATGCTACTTTCCTGGGGAGTAAAGCGTGGTTGGCGCGTAAGGCTGACAACCTTACCGCCAACTTTGAGCCGACTGTGTAGATAATGTGGGAGCCTCAACGTTTCACATCCCTATGGGCCTTTACGGCCTGTTACACGGATAGCTTTTACTTTTTATTTAGAAAGTAACCTCCGTGTATTTTAGGCAACTAATGGTGGAGCAGGGGAGAGCTTGCGCGTGAGTGGTAGCCTAATATGACTCATTACGTTCTAAGTCATCACATCACATAACTGTTCACCCAGTGTTTCTTCTTGTCTACAGAGTGAGTTATGACGTATCCTTCGGTAGATACTCTCGACAGCAGATACATTCGTGCTCTTATCCGCTTTCATCACTCGAAAAACACGAATGCTGTGGAAATCCATCTGAGTTATGCGCGGTTTACGGGCAAGATATAATGAGTGAAGGAACTGTAAGACAGTGGTGTAGAACAGGCATGTCCAACGCGTCGATCGCGGGACGATATTTGGTCGATCTCGTAGGCCTGCAAGGAAATTATACGTGAAAAGCATGTAAATTCACTTTTAATATAATATGATTATATTCAGATTTTGAAGGGAAAATACGTATTGGTCATTCCTATTTTTCTGTTCTTATGTAGCTTACTTGATAATTGCTTTACACTTGTGTTAAGTGAACAGTGGGGAAGTCGCTACTCTATCCTTATCACGTGAACTCTAGTTTTGCTTAAAGCGAGGTACGACGATACGAGTGGGTGGTAGATCACTGGCAGTTTTGACACTAAAATGTCACGAATGGGGGAGACGAGGAATGCGTATAGGATATTGGTGGGAAAGCCAAAAGGAAAGAGAACACAGGGAAGACAGGGAAGGTGGGTGGACAATATTAGAATGGATCTTAGAGAGATAGGATGGGATGGTATGGATTGGATAGATCCGGCTCAGGATAGGGACCGGTGGAGGGCTCTTGTGAACACGGTAATGAACCTTCGGGTTCCATAAAATGCTGGGAAATTGTTGAGTAGCTGCAGAATTAGCGGCTCGTCCAGAAGGGCTCAGCTCCATGAGTAAGTAAGTAAGCAAGTAAGAGTGACCTGGGATGTGACGACGTGTAGTTCAGCATATGCACACCAACATTTAGAAAGAGTTTGCTGTCTCCATCTTCATGGTCTTCAACACTGAAGATGGAGTCTACGTTACATCCCAGAAGACCGTAAGCTTCATAGCCACAGCTGTGAGAATCTTAAATCTCATAGACAAGTTTCTGAGTGTGACGTTTTAACGATGAAGGCTCTTAACACTTGGGCCTATTAAATTGGGGAGGGATAGGATGCAAGTATCTTTGATCGCTCCCCCACCCCCAATACCCTATAGCTCCGTCGATTTCTTTTCGTAATTTTTAACTCACGAATGTTCGTCTCATAAACCTTGTACAGGTAAAAGGTAAAACTGTCCCTGTGCTTAACTAATTATGCACTACGCCATGAAGGCGTATGGGGGAGTGGATGTATAGATACACATTTTCTTGACCTCGGCACTAGCTGGAGGTGAGTGGTCAGGTTTACGCCCCGGGCCGCTTTACAACCGGGGAAAGAGCCCCCGGTACCCATTCGATAGGAGGTTGGGTGGGCCCCAGAGCCGGTCTGAACGCTGTGGAGAAGAAGAAATTCTTGACCCTACCGGGACTCGAGCTCTGACCCCTCGTTCGTCCAGCCCGTAGCCAGTCGCTATACCGACTACCCTATCCCGGCTCCACCTTATACAGGTTATATATTAAATTATGAATTTTAAATATAGTTTACTTGAAGAATTTTATTACATTATTGTGATTTTCTTGAAAACTGCTAATAGAATTTCCATTACATTACAGAAATTTAAGGATTAGAGTGATATACTATAACAAATTAAAACTATTTATCAACAAATAACCAATCCCTAGTTACTTTCATTTATTCAGCACTAAAAGGATGTACTAAATGCTGTGCAATCTCTTTCTGTATCTTCTACTAAATACAACAACAGAATGTATAAACGTGGGCCGTCTTGGCCCTTGCACCGCGACCACAGTGATCTGTTGTGCCTTACAAAAATATGAACTCTTCCACTTTCTCACATTTTCTCAAATTAAACGTTTCTATTTATGTAGCAGTGAAGTAAGCCGATTACGGTTGCCGCATGAAACATCTTCGCCCGCTCGAACACTGGGATCGTGGGTTCGAATCACACTCTAGGCATGGATGTCTGTCTACGTTTGTTCTGTGTTTGTATTGTGTGTAGGTAGGAACCTTGCGACGGGCTGATCCCCGTCCAAGGAGTGTTACTGAGCGTATAGATTAAGAAACTGAAAAAAGCGGCCAGTGTCCACATGGGCTGTAGAGCCATAGATGCAAGTGAAGTACAAATGACAGTTACAGTTCAAAGTTTGGTTGACTGGCTAAGAAATAACCCTTCTCCAATTTCAGAAGGTTTTTTATTGCTAGTGAGGTGGGACTAAGTCCCTTGTACTGCGGCCACTTCTGGCCTATTGTACCAGCCCCAGATGATAGGTGAGGGTGATCGTGGAACAATTGGTGGAATGAAGATTGGCAGGGGAAATCGAAGTACTCGGAGAAAACCTGCCCTAGCGCCACTTTGTCCACCACAAATCCCACTTGATCAGACCCGGGATCGAACCCGGGCTGCCGCGGTGGGAAATTCCAGAAGTTATTTGGCAGTCAGTTTAAACTAAAAAGATTAGTCATTGACGATTAGGAAGGTAGCTCGTGCTGTTTCAGTACACAAAAGTCATGAAAACACTGCGAGACACAATCAAACCTGAGACTTAAGTGTACTGTGTGTCTGTTTAGTTTTATAGACTATATGGATAGCAAATAAATATGTATGGCCTTTTTGTGATCCGTCTCTCCAGCATATCGGACACTTGCACAACGGAGGCGCCCGTCAAATAGTATCAAATATTAAATAAAAACATACAACATAACAACAGGCCTCCGAACCCCCATCAATCATTGTGTAATATGTCCGTATAAACGATTACAACTGCCATCACATATACAGCTTTTAACTGAACTTTTGACTATGTAACTGGTTATTTTAAGACTTAAAACTTTTATTATAATTTATATTTTCTATTCATTCATATCATTTTATACCACTGTATATATTTTGAAGTCTAGTACTGTATTCTATATTTGACATGCAATTCAACAACGAAGAGTTTACTGTTTTTGCCTGATGATGGCCTTTTGAAGGCCGAAACATGTAGCACAAGTATCTCCTACAGCTACTTACATGTATTATTGAATGTTGTGTTGTGACGGTTTTCAGTAAGAAATAATTTATAGCCTCATACAAAAACGGTTACAGACTTGCAGAGATCCCAGTGAAGGGAGAGTGTTGGCTACCTTTGGAACGCCTGTATTTACGAGAAGCTGAAGGTCTTTCGAGCTGTCATTACTCAGCAGCATGGAATTCACGTGCCCACTCCGTGTTAGGGATACCTCGAGAAATCAACCTGTCGTTTTGCTTCTGGTGTTATCCTGTTATCTGCACGTAGGAGTTGCGCGACTGGTCTTGTTTCCATCTTTGTTTCATATCAAACGAGGCTTACATATAATAATGTCAACACTTTAACCTAACGTCGAAGTACTTCTTACATGGTAGGTCGCGGCTTTAAATCTCGGCTCCGGGTATGACTATTCTGACTGAAGATTTCGGGATTTTCCTCAGTCCTTGCGGATGAAAGTCGAGGTGCTATCTCAAATTATGAAGAACACCTGCAGACACCTGCTCACACTGGTTCCTCGCTCGCGGATTTTTCTACCCTGAAGATGGAGGCGATACGTTCTTCCGAAACATCGGTTCACACAAGATCTACACGGCGCTACATCCCAGAAGAAGCCATTCTTCGTAGTCACTGCCGTGAAAACCTCAAATCTTACACAGCTCAAATTACGTTGCGCTGCCTTCTCACTGATCTTACGGTCATGCAGTACAAAAGGCATGTATTCTCACACAGTGACTGCTTACTTACTAATGGGGCTGAGCCCTTCTTGAGGAGCCGCAAATTCTGCACCTACTCAACAATTTCACAGCAATTTTATGGAACCTGAAGGTTCATTATCGTGTTCACAAGAGCCATCCACTGGTCCCTATCCTCAGTCAGATCAATCCAATCCATACCATCCCATTGTATCTCTCTAAGATCCATTTTAATATTGTCCACCCACTTATACCTTGGTCTTCCCAGGGTCTCTTTCCTTCTGGCTTTCCCAACAATATCCTATATGCCCCCATTCGTGCTACATGCCCTGCCCACCTCATCCTCCTTGACTTGATCATTCTACTCACACTTGGCGAATAGTACAAGTTATGAAGCTCCTCATTATGCAGTTTTCTCCAACCTCCTGTCACTTCACCCCTCTTCGGTCCAAATATTCTCCACAACACCCTGTTCTCAAACACCCTCAGTCCATTGTCTTTAACCCAGGTCGTTTATCCAGAGGATCCGTTCAGGTCTGAGGATTTTTGAACATTTTCGTAACAAGCTCATTTTTCGGTGAGGAGTTGTCAGCCCCACTTCCAACCCCCAAGCTGGAGGGTCACCCCTTTTCGGTTGTCCGCGACTGCTTATTCAGTATATTCGAAATTATTCTCCACAACTGTAGGACATCTCCATCTGCAACCTGAGGACGCGCCATGTTGTGGTGACAAGGGACCCACGTAACATAGCACGTAGAGACTGCGTCATCAAATAAACTGATTACTAATAAACTTCCTTAGTCTGTATGTAATTGGCCAACTGTCGGGGCAGAGATCAAACTGTCGCCATAAAGACCGGGACGTGATGATGTGTTCCCTGGTGAGGCCTATCACACATTTCAGGTTGCGGTGATAGACGACAAACAAGCAATTGTGGAGTAATGTTTAGTAGGAGAAAACCGATTCAAGTTGGAAAAAGAAAAAAAACTTCACCATGGTCACTTTGAAGAGTCTCTTCTCCTTGGGTATAATACCGCGTAGTCCTTTGAAAGTCGGCCCTGAAGACGAAAGTGACATGCTTCTCTGAAAAGCCGGTTGACTTTCAACAGACTACACGGCGTTATATCCCAGAAGATACTCTTTATAAGTACCGCTGCGAGAGACTAAAATCGTACACTGTGCCACTTTTGTCCATCACGAATCTCCAAAGGATTTAGCGAGGACTGAACCCGAGACTGCACAGTCAGAAGCCAGCGTCTAACTGCCCGAGACAGGCCCTACATAAATTGTAACAGTTAATGCATGACCCTGAAATAACCGGATAATCAATGCTGTGTGCAGGCTCTGTCAGCATCACTGCAGTCGGCAGCGGGCCAGCTGTATCCAGTGAAGGCAGACCTCACCCGAGAAAACGAGGTGTGCTCCGTGTTCCGTTGGGTGAAGAGCAACCTGGGAGGTGTGGATGTTCTGGTCAACAGTGCAGGTGTGGCCAGCGCCAACTCTCTAATCGGTGAGTTCACAGTTAGTGACGTCACAGCAATGTAGCTGCGTGCTTATGACCTGAGACAAAAGCATTTATCGCTTACTGTAGTAGCTTTCAGATATTTGGGAACGACTATAACAAAACAAAACCTGATTCAGTAGGAAATTAAGAGGATACTGAATTCGCGTAATGCTTGCTACCATTCCGTCCAGAACCTTTTGTCTTCTCGTCTGCTGTCTAAAAACATAAAAAATTATAATATACGAAACTATATCAAACGTCTATGTATTAAGTGCGTCAATAATGCAAATATCATTACAACATGCACCATTCAACACCAACACGACATGTTCAGGCCACAGACGGCCATCTTCGGGTGTGTCAATGCGTCCAAACTGTTAGACGGCTTTGATGCGCGCTAAAATTGCGCGTTGCAGTCCTCTTAAAATAACATAAATAATTACTTAAAATTCATTAAAATTTTTCTATTAAAATCTTTCGTAGAATCCTATTCCACCTCGTAAGGGGCGTCGTCCCCCTCTTTAGAGCTATGTGATATTCCAGTTTTCCCGCAGCTTCATTAGCCCGTCTGCAGACTGCCCTTTGCTTGTGTGTATCCTTGCGAGCGATCACATATGTGCAACAGATATAGTACTGTACTTGCCACGTGGCACGTTTCTTTCGAAACAGGAGTGAGACAGACGGAGCCGGGATAGCGCAGTCGGTTAGCAACTGGCTATGCGCTGGGCGGCCGAGGGCTCTGAGTTCGATTCCCGGTAGTGGCAACATTTTTTTCTGTTCTCAACAGCTTCCAGACCGGTTCTGGGGCTCACCCAGCCTCATATCCAATGGATACCGGGGATTCGTTCCCAGGGGGTAAAGCGGCCGTGGAGCGACGCTGACCACTCACCTCAAACTAGTGCTGAAGTCAAGAACATCTGGATGTATACAGCCACTGCCCCATACTCCTTAATGGCGTAGAGCTTAGACAGATATGCAGAGGGACAAATTTACCTCATTTTTGCCTTTAGTAGCGGGGCAGATCGTAGTATGCATTCTGCTCTCAATTTCCCAATATTTTATAACAGTCCCCATGCTTATAGTGAGTTAATTACTCTCGTCTCTCAATTCAGGGCCATTAGCCATCACCAGCGCACTCTACTTACTCTCTGTGGTCTAGTGGTCAGAGTTCCTGGCTACAGATCCCGAGGTCTCTGGTTCGATTCCCGGAGCTACCAGATTTTCTAAGTAGTGGGTCTGGAACGGGGTCCACTCAGACTCGTAAGGATAATTGAGGAGCTACTCGAATGGAAAAGTAGCGGCTCCGGTCTAGAAAACCGAGATTAACGGCCGTAGGAATCACGCAAATAATATTTACAACTTAAATTCATATCTTAAGGAAAAGGATACGCCGTATCTCTGTTACTAAGATCAGTCGGGCAGTGACGTTCAGGGAAACAATATTTTTTTTTAGAAAACCAGAGAATCCCACAGATTAACTTTATGGGTGCAAAACTGAGTAAATAAAACTCTGTTGACTATACGAAAGAACGCGCGTCATCATCATTTAATGACGTACACCGTTATGTCGTCATTAGAAGGTTACTAGAATTTACTGAACATATACTTAGTTAGTTAGTTAGTTAGTTACTAGGGCCGCGCCATAGCTCAAGCGGTTAGTCGCTGGCTTCCCACCACGGCGGCCCGGGTTTGATCCCGGGTCTGGTCAACTGGGATTTGTGGTGAACAAAATGACGCTGGGGCAGGTTTTCTCCGAGTACTTCAGTTTCCCCTGCCAATCTTCATTCCGCCAATTGCTCCACAATCACCCTCACCTGTCATCTGGGGCTGGTACAATAGGCCAGAAGTGGCCGCAGTACAAGGGACTTAGACCCACCCCACTAGTAATAAAAACATACTGATGGAGCTGGGCCCTTCTTGAGGAGTCGCAAATTTTGCAGCTACTCAAGAATTTCCCAGCATTTTATGGAACCCGAAGTTCATCACCGTGTTCACAAGAGCCCTCCACTGGTCAATATCCTGAGCCAGATCAATGCAATCCGTACCATCCCACCCCATCTCTCTACGATCTATCTTAATAGTATATACCCACATAGTCTTGGTCTTCCTAGTGGTCTCTTTCCTTCTGGCTTTCCCTCCAATATCCTATATGCATTCCTATTCTCCCACATTCGTGATACATGCCCTGCCGACCTCATCCTCCTTGCTCTGATCATTCTAATTATACTTGGAGAAGAGTACAAGTTATGGAGCTCCTTATTATGCAGTTTTCTCCAATGTACTGACCATATACTGTCGTAATTCAAACAGGACTTTTCTTTCCCAAGGTTGCCTGCACAAAATATGACATATGTTAACCAGAGATGCATATGCAATTACTGCTGCACTCTAAAGGACCAATATCGTACACGTACTCTCAATTTTAGTTTTCAAGAATCCTCAAACAAAATTGTGTCTCCCGTTTCCAGCGATCCCTCATGACAGAAGAATAATTAAAATGAATCGCTTTCAATTATGGGTAGATTTCCTTATTTTTCAATGCATATTTACAAAAGTCCACTTCATACTTTGACGGCAAGCATTAATGAAGCTAACTGTTATATTTCGGAGCCGGGATAGCGTAGTCTGTATAGCGACTGGCTACGGGTCGGAGTTTGAGTCCCGGTAGTCAAGAATTTTCTGCACGTCCAGATCGGCTCTGGGGTCCACATAACATTCTATACAATGCGTACCGGGGGCTCTTTCCCCGGTGGTAAAGCGGCCGGGTCGTGAAGCTGACTACTTACCTCCAGCTAGTGCCGAGGTTAAAGAAAATGTGGATCCATACAACCACTGCTCCATACGCCTTCATGGCTTAGTGATTAATTAAATGAACACAGAGACCACTTCACCTTTTTTTTACCTTATACTATTATTTCAGTACCGGTCACGGTAGCCGAGCGGTCTAAGGCATGAACTGCCTTTGCTCTCTCGTAAGCCGAGATCGAGGGTTCGGATCTGTTTCCTGTGAGGTACGAACTTGAATTTTTATATATTATTCTTATACACTGCCGGTCACAGTAGCCGAGCGGTCTAAGGCATGAACTCTCTTCGCTCGCTCGGAAGCCGGGATCGTGGGTTCGAATCCCCCACAAGGCATAGATGTTTGGTATGTGTATGTGTCTGTGTTGTCTTGTGTTTAGGTAGAGGCCTTGCGACAAGCTGATCACCCGTCCAATGAGTCCTACCGTCTGTAAAAACGATCAATGAAACTGAGAAATCAGCGTTATGCTCCGAAGTGGGAGCGAAAGGGAAGAAAACAAAATATTTCAGTGGTGACCACGCGACAGGTAACCCTGAGTTACTTCTGTTCACTGTTTTCAGATGGTCCGGTTGAAAAATGGAAGCATATTCTGGAACTGAACATTCTGGGCCAGTCGCTTTGCACCAAAGAAGCAATCCAGTCCATGAACGAAAGAGGAGTGAATGACGGACACATTGTAAATATCAACAGGTAAGTCGCGGCTTTGTTGCATTTCTCACAGCCGTGATAATGAAACGTTCCATTTTCTGCGATATAACGCCGTGTATGCCGGCGACAGTCAACCGACTTTTCGGAGGAGCGTATCCTCTCCATCTTCTGCGTGGAAGAGTAAGCCAAGCAAGAAACCAGCATAAAGGAAGCATCAAACATAGAACCGTACTGCACGACATAATATCCCAGAAAACAGACTTATTCAAATTATAGCTTACTAGAACTGCTAACAAAAACATTATGTCATATCCGCTCAGAACTTCCGTCTCTTTTATCTTCTGGGACAGAGGTCTTCATAACCTTCAAATCCTATATAGCAGCGTTTCTCAACCTGTGGTCCGTGATGATGTGACAGGTGGGCCGCAAGCAGACTAAAATTAGATTAAATTAAATTAAAAATTATCCAACCAAAACTAATTAAAATTAAATAAGCAAGTAAAAATTAATTATATCATAGTCTTTATTTCTTTAATAAAACTTAAAACTTTGTTCAATGATGATTCACTTGTAATAGTTTACTTCCAATGTAATTAATTATGTTTCTATATGTATACAAAACATGCTTCTGATTTATTATGCTATAAATGGCACAGTATGTCCCAAATGTTGGTAATACCACACAGGTTTAAAAAAATAGGCCTACATAACTTGGTGGTCCGTAGAATTTATTCAGATATTTTACTGGTCCTTGAGCTTAAGAAGGTTGAGAAACACTGCTGTATAGTAAAGCAATGTCCAAGACCGCGCCATAGCTCAAGCGGTTAGTCGCTGGTTTCCCACCGCGGCGGCCCGGCTTCGATCCCAGGTCTGGTCAAGTGGGATTTGTGGTGAACAAAGTGGCGCTGGGGCAGGTTTTCTCCGAGTACTTCGGTTTCCCAAATTCTCCATCATAATCACCCGTGGCAGGTACAATAGGCCAATCAGTGTCCGCCGTGCCGAGTGGACCCAGTTGAACTCCACCCCCCACTAAGCGCATTTAAAAAATCAACGTCCAACATCCGTTTATCCTACGGGTTACTAAAGATTCGATTTATGCAGATTCTTTCCTAAGGCACAAAATTCTGGTCTGCCTACGGAAACACCAATCAGCCCTGCGCGCGCATGAAGAGAGCCCAAATGTCTCTGTCAGCGACGCACAATATCACTAAACGTAACGTACATGAAGTTTGGTTGCTCCAAATGTTTATTTTCTATAAGTAAGTTGTCCCCTGTACTTAACTAATCAAGCAGTATGCCATGAAGGCGTATGGGGGAGTGGATATGTAGATCCACATTTTCTTCATCTCGGCACTAACTGGAGGTAAGTGATCAGTTTCACGCCCCTTGCCGCTTTTCCCCCGAAGAACGAGCTCCCGGTACCCTTTGGATAGGAGGTTGGGTGGACCCTACAGCCGATCTGGACGACATGGATAAGTGAAAATTATTACTCCCACCGGGACTGGAACTCGGACCCCTCGGTCGTCCAGCCCGTAGCCAGTCTTTATACCGACTGAGCTATCCCGGCTCATATTTTCTATGCCTATAATAAACTTTCCTCGTGTTTTCATTTTTCTCTACAAAGCATTAGCATGCAGAAACACGCATGCGCACATATTCGTATATCAAAATATGGAATTCGGTTTACGCAAGACGTTGCGGAACGGAACCCCTGTGTAAGTCGGCTTTCGTACACACAAAAAGTACATGTAAACAATTATTAGACTAACGCTGAAAGTGTAAATATACACAGTGTGCTACAGATTGTCTCCTTGAAATCCCTCACATTATAATTTATGTTTTTATTTTTGTTATGTTTACATCAGCCAGTGGATTGAGGAACTGGGCAATCACCTGGTGTTGTGAAACTCAGAAATTGTTCTTGTTTCTTTTTAATATAATAATGCAGGTTTGAAGAAAGTGTCAAATTTTTCCCTGAACAGGCAAGTGACTTGTCTGCCTTCCAAAATGCCACGTCTCTTTTGAAGTATGTACTTAACTGAAGCACAGGGTTCAAGGGCCGAGAACGCCCCCCCCCCCTCATACATTCATTCATGTACTTAACTGCGAACAACATTTTTCATATTTCGACCCGGATTAGCGAGGGTTTTTTTTCTTTATTGCTAGTGGGGTGGGACTAAGTCCCTTGTACTGCGGCCACTTCTGGCCTATTGTACCAGCCCCAGATGATAGGTGAGGGTGATTGTGGAGCAATTGGTGGAATGAAGATTGGCAGGGGAAACCGAAGTACTCGGAGAAAACCTGCCCTAGCGCCACTTTGTCCACCACAAATCC